CACACGGACGACGGACAACGACGGACAATCACTCATAGGATAAGCTCCGAAAATATCACCTCATACCAAAAATTACAAAAATATTCACCAAAATTAGAGAATTAAAGATATCATTACAAAATAAACAAATCTGAGAGAGGATCTCATGTAGTACCTATATATGCAATAACAAGAAGTCAAAAATACCACTGTTTAAAAAGAAATGACGAAAATATTCACCAAAATTAGAGAATTGAAGATATCATCATGAAATGAACAAATCTAAGAGAGGTCTACCCAAGGTACATATACACCAAGTATCAAAGCATTCAGGATCGTAGTTTTCAAGAAGACGACGAAAAAGTAAAACATTGACACAGACGACAACAGACAATCACTCATATGATAAGCTCCCCTTGACAAAGTCGACAGCGGAGCTAAAAACAACTCCCCATTTTACAGTAAATAAGTGTTTCCTCGAAAAATTAACGATCCCGGATCGTTGTTTGATCCCCTGGGGGATAAAGTGGAGACTTTGAACCTGGGGTGATCTGTATTTCTCTGACATGTTGCGAAGTCTGAAGAGCAAACACGTCTTTTGCATTTCAGGCCATTTTGACATTTGCGATTCAACGGATAGTTGGTGCACAATATTAAAAATATCGCCGCACCAAGTATTTTCTTAATTAAATAAAAACATTATTTTGAATCATAAACAATACGTTTGTTGTAGTAAATATAATTTTTAATACATGAAATGCCTAAAATTTTATTGAATTTACAAAACGTGACATTTTATAATAAAACTCTCATCCGCTTACATCACAAACAAAACTACGGCTTTTGTATGTTGTTTTAGCGCTGTCAGTATTCTCACTTCCGGGTTTGTGATCGTGTGTACGTACATGTGTACAGCGGTAGCGAACATGGCGAACACGTTTGCTGTGTACATGACAACAAAAGCTGGATCAACTATTAAATTTTCAATTAAGGTAGAGATGCAGGTTCGTGGGCACTTGGGAGTGATTTTTTTTTTGGCTTTTTATTATCCAAAAAGTCTTGGCTATGGACTGTTGAAATGTTGTAGAGTTGTGAATAGTGGAACATGCTCAAAAACGATTTTAAAATATAGATAACAGGTGCAAACATTCTCTCTTTTGAATGCGTAGCAAGATTTAGCAAGGCTGTACATAAATAATAAAAAAAAACATGGTAAAAGAAAGAAATGACGGGATCTCCATATTATGCACTATATTTAACTTTTTACAAAACGATAATACATTTAAATTTGAAACTGTAACAGCCATTTTAATTATGAGCATTAGCAAACTTCTTACTGAGTGAATTGTTATGCAAATTAGCAAATATCTCAGCTTCTTTTTAGTGAACATTCCAGAACTTTAAAAAAATATAGTTGAACTCTGGTGACCTTATACCCTTTGTTATATAATATAATTCCCTTTATCATAGTTTGTTTCAATATAAATATGCATTGTCATAATTAATTTTGAATACAAACAAGTTTTGGGGTTGAAACAACAGTGGGGATTCAGATGTAAAGATGTAAATATCTTACAAAAACATTGGTGCCTTATTTGTTTATTTATTTTAAGGGACATAATTTCCAGCTTTATTCAAAATAATTCAGATATTTTAGTATAAAAACAAATGCCTCATCGCAGAAAAAAAATGCTGCATTTAGACGTGAATAGATTCATAAAACATGCAAGATAACAGAAAATCTTAGCTGGCTTTTGTCCAAGTATTTTGTACAGGTGTCTGTCAAAAATTAATGATTCACTGAGACAAATATGAACTCATTGTCTTTCCATGAGTTGGTTTTGAAACCCAGTATAGTATTCCCATGGGATTTGGGGGATACATTACCAAGAATATTATTACAAGATAAATGATTTGCTTCATTGAACACATACAACAATGCATATTTCCACTAAGATCAGTGACCTTTGATGTGTATCACCAGTGATCAGTCAGTAGAACAG